TGTGTGTGTGTGTGTGTGTGTGTGTGTGTGTGTGTGTGTGTGTGTGTTTGTACTTTTCAAAATCATTTGTTCAGCTTGGTTTATAGCACAAATCTGCAATCATGGCCACACAGAAGATACTGTTAGTTCTAAGACCACCTAGACCAGTGGTTCTTAACCAGTGGTCAGGATCACATGGGGTCACAAATCAGATATCCTATATATTAGATATTTATATTATGATTTATAAGAGGTATGAAGTATAAACAAAGTTAACTTATGGTTGGGGGTCACCAAAACATAGTGAAGTATATGAAAGGGTCAGAGCATTAGGAAAATTGAGGATCACTGACCTAGACTATAGCGGTTCAGCCTGAGTAACTGAATGACACATTGCTCCAAGTTTAAAAAAAGAAAAAGTGATCACAAAAAAAAACAAAAATGTTAAGCCCACTGGAAATACAATGCTCTGGGTTCACTCTCAGCACTAAATACAAATGGCTCTGCTAAGTTAACTTTGTATAAATGTGAGAATCATACACGAGGCCAGCTGTGTAGAAATTTGCAAGTTCAAACTTAAAATACTCCATCATTTCAGAGTAAAACTTAAAACTGAAATATACATCATCTAAGCAGATGAATCATTTATTTATTTTAGAAACTATGGGAGTTATTAGAATGGTACTCTGGGGTGTGTGTGTATGTGTGTGTGAGTGTGTGTGTGTGTGTGTGTACGCTTGTGTGATTTATTTTAGAAACTGTGGATGTTATCAGCATGGTACCCTGTGAGTATTTGTGGTGTGTGCATGTGTGTGTATGCGGGGGGAGAGAGAGAGAGAGAGAGAGAGTGAGAATGTATTATTTAGCAATAAAGTAACATGTATTCAATAGTGATTTTAATGCTTTTTCGCGTTTTTCTTACTAGATACTCTTAAAAACACAAGAAAATTCAACTTTTTATTTCTTTCATTTATTTTAGAAACTATGGATGTTGTTAACACGGTACTCTGTATTTGTGGGGTGTGTGTGTGTGTGTGTGTGTGCGTTTTAGTAATATAGCAACATATATTCAACAGTGATTTTTAATTTCTTTTTTTTTCAGAGCAAAGACTTTAATGAATATATTTTACAAATACACTGGAGAGTCAGGCAATGCTGCCTGCATTGGGTGCAATCTTGGGCCACAAGTCTGCACACTCCTTTGCAACTGGACCTGTGATAGCAGAACCTTTCATCTCCCCTTTATTGTTTACTATGACCCCCGCATTATCTTCAAAATACAGAAACACCCCATCTTTTCTTCGATATGACTTTCGTTGTCGAATTACCACCGCTGGATGTACCTTTTTTCTTAGTTCTGGTTTGCCTTTCTTAACTGCAGCCATCACCATGTCGCCCTCACCAGCAGCAGGAAGTCTGTTCAGCGGTCCCTTGATTCCCTTCTCAGAGATGATATACAAGTTTTTGGCTCCTGTGTTGTCAGCACAGTTGATCACAGCTCCTACTGGAAGACCCAGGGAAATCCGGAATTTCGCTCCGGAGGACCCACCACGTCCTCGCTTCGACATCTTGAGTGTCCGGAAAGAGTCAGAAAGGCTTGATTTTTAGTTTTCAATCTCAATTTTTCTTATTAAACTCACAGTCACAAGGCAATTCAATTTTTTAAATATTTGTACTTCCCACATAACATTTATTTTAAGATGACTTAGGAAATACCACAAGATTAACACATAAGAAAAGATGTCCTATAAGAACAATTAGAATAAACAATTCATCTCTTCTTTCTTAAATAAAAAATGTGCACCACAGGTCCCCCTGTATTTATCTTAAAGAAAATCACATTTTGACTCACTGTACATAAGGAAGCCTCAACCACTTAGTGACTGAGTTTATATGGAAATGAAAGAAATCCAGGAACACACTGCCAAATTGGCAAGGATGCTTCCTGCCTGTAAAGCATCAGCCGGAGTTGCATTATCTTCCAACTTTTGTTTCTTTACTGCCAATGAAATTACATTACATCATATATAAGAACTGAGAGCTCTGGTCCCCAGTCTTCCACCACTCAAAATTAACTGACCAGAGTACTTCTGACCAGCACACTCACTGCCTAAGACGTTTCTCCAAGGTAGGTACCTGGGAGTATGAAGCCCTTTAACTTCATGTTAAATGTTGCCCATCCACCAGGGTAGAATTTTAATGGGCTGCTTATAAGATATTCTTTTGTCATTATTGCAAGAATAATTACCTACATGAAACTTTGAGCGATAAAATTTATTACATTTGAAAACTTATGCAAGCAACAGAAAAAGTATTCGTGTTGATCACTCAGGATAGGGAGTTCACCAAAGTTTGCAATTCCCTTTTCTTTTTCCTGTACCTCATGGTTCTTTAACATTCTTAATGATGGGCTACTCTCAGATGTATTCTGAAAGAGAATTATTCCAAAGTATATATTTACAACTTATTTTACTGGTTTTTAAGTGTCATATTGGAGAATAGCTTAGGAAAAACAGATATGTGACATTTGCCCATAATACCTAGTGAAAAACTGTTCTTAGATTCTTTCTGGGTTTGCACTGTTCAGCTCCCACATTTACACTATCAACAGGGTTGAATAGAGGAGCTGACAGGCCACCATGTGCAATTCTGTGAAGGAAGCACTCAGGCAGTCTGACTCCAGAAATTTAACACAGGCCATGAGACCACAGAGAAGAAAAACAGACCTAAATAATTCTGATCCGTGTTACTGATGGAACACAGTTGCATAATAGAAAACATATTTGAGAACATTCATTCTACACAAAATGACTCAGTATATTGTTAAAACTAGCCTATGAGTAATTAAACATGATCAAGTTAAAGTGGTAGCATCTCAAATATGAGTTTACAGAAACTTGATGCTATAGAACTGTAATGTTAAAGTAAAACAAAATCCACAAATGAAAAATGTCCATTTCAAAATAGTCACTGTTAAGTCAAAGCTTTCTTTTTAAATCTTCAGTTGCTCAGACTCTTCAAGGACAAATATGTTGTATTTTACATGCATCAGCTCAGATGTCAAAAATGAAAATTAGCCCCATCGTTTGAGAGTCAAATGTTATAAGCTGACAATATTATGCCACTAAGTCCAAGATAAAATTCAGAAGGTTATTCTAAAGTATACTGCACTACATATATACCATGTTCCAACTAATGCAATTTCATTTTTAAAAAATTATGCTAACCAACCATTGTACTAACTTTCAGGGCTACCAAAAGATGAAGCCACTGTGTTTAGTCTTTGGCCTCTGGGTTCTTACAGGATGCTTCCTGGTGAGTATCAATTGTCCCTGTCAAAAACCTTCATGTTCTCTTATTAAATTTTATGTCAGACATTTTAACTTTATTTACATGCATTTCCTAATATAAACTACAAATTACTGATGAAATGCCAATCAAGTGCTTTAATTTCCACTTTGAAAATCTGTTTGAATTTAATAGTTACAGAGATTGTAATAAATCATTAGGAAAATAATAGATTTACCCAAGAAAGTTTACTACTGTGTAATATTCAGATCAATATCAGGATGACCAAAGGAAAGCACAGATATGTTCAGCTCATTGTTAAGTTACATCAAAAATAAAAATAATGTGAACTATTGTTCTCACAGTTTATGCCTAGGTAACTAAAAATAAAATTCTGAAGGACCTTGCATGCAGTGATCAATATTTAGAATGGAACACCTTGTATCTAATGTCTGTCCTGAGTTAATAAACTAATAACATAGAGATAACAGTAGTAACATAGACGTGTCTTGAAGTAACATAGTTCATCAGTTATATGAATACAAGTCATATGGCGTGTAGGAGGAAAGAGAGAAGCAGAACTGTTAGGGGCCATGAGGAGTGAGCAGGGCTTACATGCCTGACCTTTACTACAGAGATGCAAAGAAAAAAACAAGGTCAGAGAAAAAGCATCCAGTACAATGATCCTGGGGTGGAAGACCTTTAAATTAGGTATGATGTTAACTGATGTTCATTTTCTGAGGAATATCTAAAGTTAAGAGAGATACAAAAATAGTACACTGACTTCGGGTTTTCAAAAACGTCATTATAATGATACAAATAAAAATCAGAAAAGTTGAGAGATACAGAAAGCAGGCAAAACAGAGTTGAGGAGCATGTACAAGGCTCTGGGATGGTGATGGGTGGTTGGACATAGGTGTGGTCATTTTCTTAATGAGATGTGCTAGTTAAATGAAGCAACATACAGTTACAGAGTAGAAGGGAAAAGAAGTCAAGAAGAAACAAGGGAGATGTCGTTCTCTTAACTCATAAGTGACTTTACAGGCTGCATGACATAGACAGGGGAGTTCACTCCTAACTGCTACAACCACTTGGTGAAGTAAGAAGGGAGTCATCTGGAGGTAAATATGGGGGCTCAGCATGAGGTAGAAAATCCACAGAAAGAAAGTTGGTGTCAACATGGAATGAAAAAGACTCTACAAAACTGGAGAGGGCAGACCAAAGAAACTTGAGAGGATTGCAAGGCAGTGCCTAAGGACACAAAAGTCTGACTATGAACTGCCCATGTCATCTTCTACCACTGCTCACGAAATTGACCCTGATGAAGGGACAAGTTCTTAGAGTTAACCTAAACTTTGGAGTTGGTGAAGGCAATGTATCTGCTGAACAAATTAGTGAAAGAACTCAACTAATAAGTCCAGACCAGCCTGACTTCGGATCAGCAGTACAGGAACAAGAGCACATACTGTGTCTCTGGGTGACAGGGCCTTTTGTGTCCTAGAGTCTTCCCACCTCATTTCAAAGACTTCCCTGACACTGAAGCAATTCTTAACTTTCAGCTCTCCAAAACAATCGAACTTCCTAATGTATTTGTTTCCTCAACACTTTTCAGCTGTGTTTATTTGTAATCTTGAACCTTAGGAAAAATCACTAAACTGGGTGTTAGCATAGCAACTGAGACACTGAGTGTTCACCAAGTGCTATACCAAGGCAAGCACTGCCTAGACGTCTAGGCAACATCAAATAACTGGCAGAAAATGATCTCTGAATAGGACTCAGGCATGAATATCATTATCACACAAATAATCTTGACTCCAAGATGTGGAAATATGTAAGACTGTCATTTTCAAAGGACAAAAACCAGAGTTTTCCTTAGTCATGCAGTTTGTCCATGATAGTGACAGAACTACAACCACAGCATTTACACTACAGAGACTAATATTCTGCCTCCCTTTAGCCTATATTAGTAATACCTTGACTTGTAACTACTCTGTCTACAGACTCACATGAAGCACATCTGTACCTTCCACTACTGCTAAGCTTAAGTTCTTCCTTCAAGTACAAGTCTATAACATATTTTGAAAATTATTGGAATTACAACCCAGAACAATCCTAAGCTCTTGAGTTACAGAGACATTTCCCAATCCTGTATATCACCTACTTGCACTTGGGATTGATTTCATTGATCACGTCTACTAAAACTGAGCTTAAGGTTTTTTTCCATGATATTTTCTTTCCATTTAATGACATCAAAGCTTTCATTGGTAACTTGTATGCACAGACCAAAGGGAAAAATATATATTCTCAAAGTAGTGGGAGGATTTTTTACTTAGAAACGTGTAACCATTTTCTGTTGCTGCAAAATAAAGTGCCACAAATTAGGACTATAAGAAGCCTGTTTGTCCTGGCATAGTCTACACTTAGCATAGACATATCCTTTTCTCAAGTGACACAACAAGCAGAAGAGGAACCTGGGTGGCAGTTCCATCCTCATCCCTGGCCAGCTTTTCCATAGTTCATATAAGTGCATCCTGTATCACAGTACTGAATGGCCCCAATTTTGTTCATTAATATTTAATTAACACGAAGTATCAAGCTTCTGTGTGAGGTTTTCATGTCCCAGTTGGATTTTCCTTGACCTCACACTAGTCTCCCCCGACTCAGATCCATAATCCCCTTACCCACACTGGACTCTTTGTACTCAGTGTCATTCTTTTTTTATTTCTAGTCAATCCCCACCAGTTTCCCTTCAAGTCTAATTTTTGATTTTAAAAGAAAATTTCAGAAACACAGGTGGAACTACAAAATGTAGCAAGCACAGTATCCCATGCTCAAGAGACAAATACTATGTATTCTCTCTTACGTCCTAGACTGTAATGTCAATGAGTGTATAAAGGTCAAGATAATACGGGTAAAGACCATGACAGTGAAAAGGGACCATGAGAAGAGTCTCTGGTTTTTACAGGTCATGAGCCAGAAGCCACTCTGATCTCATATAGCACAGTTGTTACATGCTTCTCTCCAGTACAAAGAACATTTACTGTAAGCCAGTAGACTACTCCCTGCAACATAAAATCTCTATCATCTTCTGTTTCCAGAATTACAGAATTTGAGCCGGGCGGTGGTAGCTCATGCCTTTAATCCCAGCTCTTGGGAGGCAGAGGCAGGCGGATTTCTGAGTTCGAGGCCAGCCTGGTCTACAGAGTGAGTTCCAGGACAGCCAGAGCTACACAGAGAAACCCTGTCTCGAAAAAACAAAAAAAAAACAAAACAAAAACAAAACAGAATTACAGAATTTGTTTCAAAATTACACAGATAATAAACTCAAGACAGCACGTATCTTGGGAGAATTAGAAGTCATCTTAAGTTACACCTTGCTCAGAAAGTATTTATGCAAATAATTCTGTGAAATATCTCATTTAAAATTGTTTATTTTCTCTCTCCCACAGTCCAGTGAATGTCACAGAGGCCCCAGAAGACATGATCCTAGAGGACCTCCTCCTCCTCCTCCTCCTCCCTATGGTCCAGGATTTGGTCAACCACCCCCTCCACCTTCTGGTCCAGGATTTGGTCGGCCACTCCCTCCTCCTCCCCCCTTTGGTCCAGGATTTGGTCAACCACCCCCTCCTCCTCCCTTTGGTCCAGGATTTGATCGACCACCCCTTCCTCCTCCCTTTCATCCTCCTAATATTCCAGTTTCTCCACACCCTAGACCTCCAAGCAACCCTCCTACTCGACCTCCACCCACAGTACAAGTAAATACAGTACCAGCTGCCAACATCTCCATAACCACTACTGCTGCCCCAAACTCCACTGATACTTTTTGGAGGTTGTGGCAATTAATAAATTCTTATTTTAGGTCAGAATAAAATAAACCAAGGCATTATGGAATTTTAGGAGAAATAATCTTTAAAGGCTTAAGAAACAGTCTTTATCCAAGCATTATACAAGATGAAAATAAAGAGCAAGAGCGGCATTATAAAGCATCTACTGCTGTCCTCATTGTGACCACCGTACCGCCTATTGTGCTATTTGCATAAAATTAACCCTTCCAGAAACCTAATCTTGTTCCAGAAGGCAAAGGGGTCATTAGGGGAAATACAACTGTAACGTACAATCATGAAAAGTAGATGAAAATAAAATAAGTTGTCACCTTGAGTTTCGCCAATCAAACAATTACCAATCACAGAACATGGTGGTATAGATCCACACAGTATTTCCAGAAAAATTAATGAGTAAGGTGTCATCATTACATTTATCCCAATGAGGTTTCTACATCCATGAAATCAATGAAGTTTGCATGAAAAGGACTCAGAAAATACATTGGATGTCTACTGAGCGTGATCTTTTCTACCGGGATTCCTTAAACAATCCATTGGGGTTTTATTAGAATATAATTGAATATATTTTGTTTTGTTATTCTCTCTTTGAAGACTATGCTTGTTTTTGAAGAGAAAGTTAAACTATTTAAACCCACACCTCATGAAACTCTAAAACCTATGGGGAAACAAAGGAAACTGAAAGGGGAGAGAAAGGGCTGGTGTGCTGCAGTTCTAGTGCTAATCATGAAATACTCAAAAAAATTAAACAAAAATTGAAATAAATCCAGGAATACTGCCAAAGAGAGATATTGAGAGAAATGAAATTGTTTGATTTATACAGAAGGTTAAAAGAGAAATTGTATGCTTGTTTATATTCACGAAATTAAGACATTCAGGTAATAACAAAAGACCATTTTCCTGCTTAATATAAAGTAATCTACTTCTGGTCTGAACATACAGGGGGGTTTTCCTTATAACTTTTAGCAGGAAGGAAAGATGGTCCTCATAAATAGTTACTGTGATTACACTTAGTTGGTAGTATAGATTTATACCTGATTTCATTGTCCTGCTAACGTTAGGTGCTTGAAAATTGAAACACCATTTGAACTTTTCAGTGTGGGAATTTTGTACCAACTCTGCAGAAGACATCAGATTTGTAGTTTGTCTCTGATCTGCCAGCTCTACCACTAACCACAACTTACAAGGCCAGGACTTTACAATCTAGGCAATGGGATCTTTCATCCTTCCACAGAATTTTTTTAAGCATTGTGTAAGTTCTAAATCATGACAAATATTTAGAAAAGCACTAATCTAGAAACTAATTAATATGAATGAATAATGCAAAATAATCATGTTTGCATAAATCTCCAGTTGAAAATGATAGTTTTGCTTCTACATGTCAACAGAAATAAGTATCTGACCACAGGGCAAAAGACATCAAATATCAGATGTCACTGTATTGCTGTGTGTAAGTGTGCTAATCTAACTATATTAGAAAAGAATTATCACCTATTATATAAGTTTATATGAAAGCAATAACATAATTCTACTGTTCTTTGGGTTTCCTGTCATTAGAGACATCAACTCTATGAAAATATTCTCCAGAAAGTATTAGGTCTAAACCTTGGAAGCCATGAATTAGTGATCATTTCTCTTTGTCAACATGTACTTCTCTCTTTTTTATTCGTTCACCTACAAGAGAGATTTTCCTGCAAAAAAATATTGGTGTCATTGTAGCACAAAAATTATGGGAGGAGTCAACCACTATTTGACTGGATTTAATGCACCCTATATTAGATAGAACCCATACCTGACCTTTCCAAAGTGGTCAAGAATCTGTGATTACATGGTCCATGGTCCTAAGGGAAAATCTAATAATAATATTCTAACAAGAGAATATAGCACTAAACAAACTTATAACATACTGATATAGATCAGTACCTCACTCAGTTCTCATTAAAAACACTTCTTCTTACAGTAGATTTGAAGTAAAACAAAGGCCCACAAATGGACAATGTGCAAAGAATGAAAGACTTTGGAGCACTCAGTACTAAGTGTGGTGTCTTCAACAAAACCCTCCCATCATACCCATGCAGAAGGATCGTAAGATCCAGAGGAGATGGGTGAACCCAAGAATAAAAGGTCTTCTATCTTTATTCTCTATGCACTATAGTTAAGAGAGAATCAAAAATAGAAGGCTCAGTTCATGTTTTTTTTTATTTTTATTACTCATTTTATTCATTTGCATTTCCAATAATATCCCCCTTCTTGATTACTTCTTCACAAACACCCTATCCTATCTCTCCTCTGCCCCCTCCCCTTTGCCTCTATGAGGGTGCTCCTCCACCTACTCAATCAATCCTGCTTTTCCACCCTAGCATCCCCCTACACTGGGGCATCAATCTTCCACAGGACCAAGGGCCTCCCCTCCCATTAATGTCAGACAAGGCCATCCTCTGCTACATATGTATCTGGAGCCATGGATCCCTCTATGTATACTCTTTGGTTAGTGATTTAGTCCCTGGGAGCTCTTGGGGGTCTGGTTGGTTGATACTGTTCTTCCTATGGGGTTGCAATCCCCTTCAACTCCTTCAGTTCTTCCCCTAGATCTTCCATGGGCTTCCTGGGCTCAGTCAGATGGTTGTCTGTGAGTATCTGCAGCTGTATTGCTCAGGTGCTGATAGAACCTCTCAGGAAACAGCCATACCAGGTTCCTGTCAGCAAGAGCTTCTTGGCATCAACAATAGTGTGGGGGTTTGATGTCTACAGATGAGATGGATTCCAAGGTGGGGCAGTCTCTGGATGCCCTTTCCTTCAGTCTCTGTTCGATTTTTTGCCCCTGTCTTTCCTTTGGTCGGGAACATTTCTGGGTGGATGCTTCAATCCTGTACTTGGGGGAGTCAAGACACTTGACATGATGATCTCTAGGTCCAAGAATTTCTTGCATACCACATAATTTCATCTTTCAGAGTGGCAGAATGAAATTCCATTGGGCATATGTACCACACTGTCTTTATTGATTCATCTGTTGAAGAACACCAAGGCTGATTCTAAAACTTGGTTACTGTGAACAGTGGCACAATAAATACAGGCATGTGGATATTTTTTTTAGTAGACCATGGGTGGACTCAATATATACCTATTAAAAATAAATAAATCTGTTCTCTTGATAACAGCACAACAGAAGACAAAACACGTGAACTAGGACAGGTTAAGCATTTATTATTTGTGCTGTAATTAATTTTATATTTTGTGCACTGACAACTCTCAAAACAGCCTATCTTCTTACTCATGGCACTCTGACTCTGTTTCTGTCTAGGACTCTTCCCATGGAAGTTTGGAAGCCCATTGCTTCACATATGTTGGTTCTCTACTTTTTCTTATGTTTGGGGAGTGGAACAGAGAAACGGGAAGCAAGAGAGGTGGTAGAATCATGCTCTAGTTCTTTCCTATGCAGAGCAGAGTGACTGAGTCCTCCTCTTATTTGGATGTGCCTTATCTAAATGTAACTCTGCTGCTGCTGTCGAGTTCTTCTCCTAGTCAAGATGGATGCATACTTCCTTTGAAACCCAATTATCACCTTTAAGGAGGTCTCACTTGTGTGTTTGCTACTTCCCAACAGGAGTCCCGATCAGCACATCATTTTGTAGCCTTGCGGTTTCTTGGATGGTTGGGTGGGAACAATGATTTCTGCAGTGAGGAGAGACAATGTTACGTCTGATAATGGTGGATACATCAGAGGGGAATCAAATACTAGTTATTAAATAGTAGCTTCTGTTTATTGATCATGGACCACACACTGAACAATGCTATGGCTATGACTCTGCATCCATTATCTTAATATTCTTAACTCTGTGGATGAGAAAACCAGACACAAATTCCTTGAGTTTTTTTATATGAAGCATTTTTTTTTCAAAGTAAGATTTAGAGATTGATGGATTCAGATTCTTGGAATATAATGTGGATTATAGAAAACCTTTTTTTTTAATCCTTTTTTTTAGACTCCAGATTTTATTGCCTTCCAGGTCCACCCTCTAACTGTTCCACATCTCATGCCTCTTCCTCCTCACTATCTCCATGAGGATTTCCCTACCCACTACCCATCCCCATCCCAACCCACCAGACATTTCCACTCCCTGGGCCCTCCAGTCTCTTGAGGGTTAGGTGCATCTTCTCTGACTGAACACAGACCAAGCAGTTTTCTGCTGTATATGTGTTGAGGGCCTCATATCAGCTGGTGTATGCTGCCTGGCTGGTGGTCCAGTGTCTGAGAAATTTCAGGGATCCAGGATAACTGAGACTGCTGGTCCTCCTACAGGATCCTCCTCCTCCTCAGCTTCTTCCAGCTTTTCCCTAATTCAACCACAGGGGTCAGCAGGTCTGTCCATTGGTTAGGTATAAATATCTGCATCTTACTGTTGGGTCTTTCGCAGGACAGCCATGATAGGCTCCTTTTTGTGAGCACTCTATAGTCTCAGTAGTAGTGGCAGGCCTTGGGGCCTCCCCTCCCAACTGGATCTCACCTTGGGCCTGTCAAAGGACCTCCTTTTCCTCAGGCTCTTCTCCATTTTTGCCTCTGAAGTTCTTTCAGGAACAATTATGGGTCAGAGTTTTGACTATGGGATGGCAAGCCCATCCATCACTTGATGCTCTGTTTTTCTCCTGGAAGGGGGCTCTACAAGTTCCCTCTCCTCACTGTAGGGCATTTCATATAAGGTCCCTCCCTTTAAGCCCCAAGATTCTCTCACCTCCCAGGTCTCTGTTACATTGTGGAGAGTCCCCACACCTCCTACCTCCCAAGGTTACTTGTTTCCGTTCTTTCTGCTGGTCCTCAGGGCTTCAGTCACTTTCCCCCACCCATTACCTGATCATGTTCCCTGTAGAACCAAAAGGACAGTATGGTTTCCAGTGGAGCACCAGCTAGAAATCGCAGAAGACCCCGCAGGGTTCCCTGCAAGGGACGACAGGCATTTTGCCAGAGTCCCAGACTCTAGGCTCTTGATACAAAGCTGCAGACCTTCATAAATTGTGCCTTTCAGTCACAAAGA